CCCCCCCCCCCCCTCGCAAGAGTCTAAGGGTGGAACCGCCTTCAGGCTCAGCCAGGTTCCCAGAGAGCTGCTTCCTGCTGAAGCAGAGAGGCCCAGGGCCACGTGGCCGCCTCGGCACCATCTTCCCAGGGAAGGGCCTTGCCCTGAGCTGCTCTCGGAAGTGGACTGGAACGTGGAGGGGGCTGAGGGGCCCCGGGCACCCCTGAGTGACCGATGCAGTGGCTGAGAAGCCTGCTCTTCGGGTCAGCCCGTGCACTCGGTAGCCAGCGCCCATGTCCCCAGAACCAGTGACCCCTGTTCCGTCCCCCCACCCCCAGTGCAGCTTTGTGCACACAAGCACACACACGTGCACACACACCACTGCAGCTGTCCTGGGTCAGGTCTCCGTGACCCCCATGACCCTCCGTCCAGGGGCTTCTCTGCTGGTCGAAAGTCTCTGCGGATCCTGCTTCCCACATCCTCATTCCAGAGTGTTCCTCCTGCAATGGCCTCTGTGGGCCTCGTGTACCCGCCTGGGCCTCCCCTCCACCCCGGCGGCCTTGGGTATGTTAGCCTGTGGATGACACCCCATCTCACTCAGCCCTGACACTTCTACCCCACCTGCCTACCCACCCCAGGTCTGCCTTGTACCCACAGGCGGCATGCCCTCCCATCCCCACTCAAAGCTCTCGTCTGCCGGTCTCCCTGCCTTGTGCTCCCCACTTTGGAGCGTCACACCCCCAGGGAGGATGAGCAGACTCCGGGCCATTCTGGGCTTCACCAGCCATGGCAGAGGGGAAGTGCAGGGGGGCATCTCTGGGAGGTTTGGGGAGAGTGGTGGTGAGCATCAGGTCTCCCTTCTAGAAAGACCACTCTGGCTGCTGAATGGAGAGAATTGGGGAGTGGGGGGTGGGAGGGGACGCAAGGAGGTCTTGCCTTGTGGGGAGACCTGCTGTCACCCTGTGAGAGAGGCAGGAGGCCTGGAGGTAGTGGCCCCCCTTGGGGGGCGAGAGGCAGCCAGGAGGGTCTCCCACAGGAGGTGGCCTTGGTGGGTGGGACCCTGTGGCTGAAGAGTCGAGGGGGGGGCAAGCTGGATCTTAAGAAACCTATGTAGGTGGGTCAGCGCCAGCCCCTCTGCCCCAGCTATGGGCATGGTCACTCCTCGGGCGTGGCTTATCCCGGTGCCTTGCTCGCCCTGCCTTCACTTCCCAGGGCAGGACCCAGGGCTCAGCGCAATGAGTGTGACTGACAGGGGTCCCAGTTCCAGGACAAGCTTGGGCCCCCACGGGACCCCTTCTCCCAGTGCAGCATGGGAAGGGAAGAATTGTGGGGGAGTGCCATTAGACAGTTATGCTGTGTTAGGGTTGGCCCCGGCTGTCTCCC